CCCCAGGGCGCTGTGTCTTACAGAGTGCTCAAAAGACCACTAAGACGAGAGTTGAAACGTATTTCGTTGTGCGTGTCCTATTTGACTGTAAGGCTTAAGTGACTTACCCGATCCCGTACCTCAAGGGGACGCGAGAAAGAGACGAGACGAGATTCCCCCTGACACGTGTGGAGAACCTCAGAGGAGAAGAAATCCCTTCTGATAGAAAATAAGTCCAAAGCACCTGAGTACGGAGTAGCCCCACAAAGGCGCCTCCCAGTCCTTTACGTAAGAATATAATATGTATTACTTCGGTACGAAAATAGCATTCAGGCCACTAAAAATATTTATTGATATGGCTTATTGTGGGAGCGTTGGTTAAGTAACGTATGTTCTTGTGTTTATGTAGACCTGGTTGATGATGGATTAGTGCTTTTTAGTATCGTTATGCCTAGTCAGAGCAATGTTTTTTTTTTCCTGCAAGTATCGTTTGCCACATAATGTAGTCAAATTGCTTATGGTATTACATACAGCGTCAACAAACAAATACACGTCAGTATTAACACCACTTAATATTAGTATTACGTTACTTATTGCCCACAGACACAACTACAGTAGAAGTGTCTACAATGCCCAGTACTACAGAGAAAACGACGGAACCTGCAGGTAACAAGTTCTGTTTTACCTTCGATAATGTGTTAACAAATATAAGTAATAGTTTATGTATGTACTAAATCATGTCGCTATTTTGCTCATTGTTCACAGACACTACTACAGATGAAGTGTCTACAATGCCCAGTACTACAGAGAAAACGACGGAACCTGCAGGTAACAAGTTCTGTTTTACCTTCGATAATATGTTAACAAATATAAGTAATAGTTTATGTATGTACTAAATCATGTCGCTATTTTGCTCATTGTTCACAGACACAACTACAGATGAAGTGTCTACAATGCCCAGTACTACAGAGAAAACGACGGAACCAGGTAACAAGCACTGTTTTATCAATGAGAGTTAAAAAATATAAGTAATAGTTTAATTTATGTACGTACTAAATCATGTCGCTATTTTGCTCATTGCTCACAGACACAACTACAGAAGAAGTGTCTGCAATGCGCAGTACTACAGAGAAAACGACGGAACCAGGTAATTAATTAAAATACGTATGACACATTTTTTTCTGCATAGCTAGTACAGTAGCAAGAACTACGAGATTGTCTACTACTAAGATGGTACCAACAACGATTATTGCTACTACAGGGTTGTTTCATTGGTTCCAATATATATGGCCGCGAGTTATATATGGTACCTTCTTCCAAATTTAACTGACTTACGTTTAAGGAACAAGATATACGACAATACCCGGGAAATAACTAAAGTAAGATTTTGTTACGATTTTTGAAATTTACCAGCTTGCTCGGCTAAGCACTTTGAGAGATGCAACCTGCACATGCGTGAATCCTCTCTTTAACCCAGTAATGTACAACTCCGGATTCATTCGGTTCAGATTAAGCTTTCGAATCTTGTTTATTCCTGGGTTTTCGACTGCGTTCAGAGCGACCTATGGACATGGGCAGCCTGGGCCCGACCCATTTGCTTGTTTCATAGTATTAAAAAAAGATTGTGTAATATTCTAAGCCATTAATTGTAATACTCATACGAGTTGGTAACCACAGATATGATAACAACCACTGACGTCAGAAACAGAATTATGCAGCCTTTGTTAAGCGTGCCATTTGCCACAATACAGGCTGCACATTTTACGTGAATCATTCCCAACCAATATAAAAAAACGATTAATAAGTAATAGTGATAAATATTTATTTCGGTATTAATAAATGCAAATGATAACATTTATTTAATGTGAATAAGATGAATAGAAAAGTCAGATAGAGAGAATATTGACAGTTTATTTTTCTACATTAACAAAATAATAGCACTATTTCTAAAATTGGTATACATCTATCATTGTTGCGTCATCAGTTAGCGTGCAATATTATGCGATATTACAAGGGCTATCTACAATCTACCATACTAGGAAATGGGAATTCCAGCAAGTACGTGCGTAAACGTCCTCTAATAATAAAAACAAACATGGCAGCCTCCCAGAATTTGATCGGTTCTCCCACAAAGAAGTTCTCTAAATGTGTTCGGAACCTTTTAGGATTTCGGCATTCCCATGTAAATATGTATAATGTATAATGAATAAGATGTATATTACGTTATGCCCTCGAAATATACGGGTACCTTCTTCCAAACTTTAACTGATTTACGTTGAAGGAATAAGATCAACGACAATACTCGGGAAATAACTAGTTTGTCATCATTGCTATGACTATTTTATCAACAAAACACCCCCCTGGGTTTGACCGGACTTCACACAAAAAAGTTCTCTGAATGTGTTCGAAACTTTTGATTTCCGCATCCATATGATGTATCTCAGAGAGTAAAATGTGTCCAATTATAAATGCATAAGATGTATATTACGTTAAGTGATTAGTTTATACATATACAGAGATGGTGACAACAATTGACGTAACTACTGAAAGTTGGACAAGAACTACACTACCATTTCCTACCATACCACCGACTACAGCAACACATGACCCTACCACTCGAGGTATGTGCATTAGTGTTGTAATATAACATATGAATTATTTATTGAATTTGTAACCGAACATAGAAATAACTGCAATGGCTGAAATGAAGTTGAAATAAACAGCAAATCCGGACACATGAAAATCAGACTACAGAGAATGTTTACAGAATGTTTTTGGTTGCAGTGTGTGTACTCAGTACTAAACGTGGAAAACAACAAATAATGATTTAAATGCACGTGCATGCAATTGTTTGATGCAAACTTCTCCTTTTTTTCAAAAACAAATTATAGCATTCAGCAAAACTATTTTAACAAGAAAGCAAAGTGTTCTCACTTACAGGGTTCCATATGAACTTTGCACATTGCTGTTATATTTTGTGTGCGCTCTTTTATGTAAACATGATTGATTGTGTGTGTGATACTTGATCAGTTGTGGTTTTCATTTGATGTTTTATGTTTGGAAAACAAATCGCAAATACGAGAATATGAAAAGTTGTTCCAAGCTGAAATGTAAAGTTCTAGTAAGATGATTTCATTCGACTGAAAGACACTGCTCTAATCTATCTTTAGATATATATTTTAGAGAAATTCTCAAGTTTCATCACATAGTCAACAATAAAATCCTTCCATTGTGATGTATGTTGTGATGAATTATACAAAATATATTGTTTTCATCAGCATGCACTTCAATGTATAAAATACAGTATTGCTATGTGTAATGCTGAATTAATAAAAGAAACTTTCCATCTCAAAAATGACCAAAAGTTCACCAAACTTACATTGCATGACTCATAGATAGCAACAAATCACTACAACGCTGTTTACTCCAGCTGTGCAATCTATATTTAGAACTAATAACAAAAGTGAACATTTTTTACTAGCAGCTTATGTTTACACTTTCTTGGTGGATCACACGGTAGTAGTCTCTGTACCACATAAATGATCGGTTGGCCGACCCGTGGTTGAATGCCAATACAATGGCTTCAGCCATACTATGATTAAGTGTGCGGAATATTCAACGTGGAGGCCAGGGCTAATGGCCAAGAATCATTCAGAAACTGTTAAGGCAACACTTGATGGCAATTGTGAAAGTGATAATACATTCAACTTATACTACGCTGTCAAAAAACATTTCTCCGTACAATACAATATTTATTTGTATTCGTAATCTGATTGGTATTCTTACTTGTAGAAGTTTCTACACATGCTGCAACAACGTTCCTTCCTACAACACGTATTTCAACCACGCTTGACCCAGGTATGGAATACGGGATTTATTTATTGAGTGTTATGATTTCTTCGTGGATTTAGTGATACAATCTTTGTTTCAATCCACGATTCATTGAATTATATATAGATTTACACATTGGTTTTCATGTTCAGATCGTAGGTATATTGATATAGAATGCATTCGTTACTACGTGTACAATGACACACAGACATGGGAAAGTTCTGAACAATTGTGTGAAAACGTCGGTGCTGTGCTGGCTTCTTTGTATACGAGCAAAATCAGCGACGGTGTCATACAATTCATCATAGACCGTAATCTGGACGATGGAACAATCAGCTATTGGATTGGATTGAATGACATTTCAGAAGAGGGAAGTTTTGAATGGCTCAATGGAGATCCATATGGATACACAAATTGGGCGCCTCGTAATCCAGATAATTGGAGAAATCAAGACTGTGGGCAATTGTGGTGAGTGGAATTCCCCTTATATTGATTATATACTAATTTTAGTGACTGCAGGTTTTGTTTGCTGAATGGATTTGTACTAGATATACTAGTTAATTTACCATGTCTCCGTCATGTTTTTTCGTGAGATATTGGGTAGGTAATAATAAAATTATATTATTATCTTTGGTAAAACAATCCGTATTTGGTAAATACACAAAAGAAAGTGTGATTTACTCAAATCGTACGATCAATGAATTGTATTAATAATAAAAATTGTATATATTTTTTGGCGTTCTTATCTGAGAAACAGCATCGTCGTGTAAGGCAAAATATATGAGTAATATATTATTATTATTATTATTATTATTATTATTATTATTATTATTATTATTATTATTATTATTATTATTATTATTATTATTTTCGTATGGTGCATTGTTTTAGCCAATTTAAATTAATATTTTGAACAGAATGGTTAAAAAAACACCGTTAAAATGAGTACAAATTCCAAAGAAATTACATCTTTCTATTTAATTGATTTTTTTTAATATATATATTTATATGTGTATTCACCAAATCGTTATACTGCAGGCGTATTGCCTCTTCGTGCTTAGTGACAAAAATAGACATTTTAAATATTATGCCACCAATTGAATGACGCCCTCGTCGACGCAATCCGTGACTTACTTCGTTCATCATTGCTTTATTGATGTTGGAAAATCGAACGTTATAAAGCATGGCATGTGCAATATTTTTTTTCCTCCAACCTACATTTCTATTTTGAAAACATAATGGTAAATTTTCGTGATACATGTAACTTGTCAAAGAGAAATAAAATGTTCAATAGAAATCAATCTGATCATACGCCTTCGTATGTTTGTGTTATTCTTGGTGCGTTTGTTCTTGACCGGGATTGCTTATTCTTTTGCCAAGATTGCAATGGAGTACTACTTAAACACGCATAAATATGGAATATTACAGTGGAATATATATCAGTTTGCGTTTATGTGATCTAGTGTACTAACCCTACTTTATTTTTGTACATTCATTGTATATGCTATGTCTGAAACATTGATTCGTAAATTAACATACACATAAATTTAATTTAATATAGTATAATTGTCCTTCGATTTATTAATATACAAAGTGTAGTTGATGTCCGAGACAAGTGAGTAGAATTAAACTGCCATTTCTGGGATTAGATCTATCAACTTGATACAGAGTAATTGAGAGCAATACAACCCTGCCCCCTGTGGGAAACTGAATTGTCCTAACGAAGGCAGTGACGTGCTTCAAAAGGTGGCTGAGAATGTACTGAGTTACGCATATTACTTAAGTAATTTATGACGTCATTGAGCTACATAACGTTCTTTTTTAATATCAAAGGATAAAGTTCTGACAAAAATTGGTTTTATTATTTAACTACCAAATTGATCAAATATTCACCTATATGTCTATCAAATTTATCCCATAAAAGTAGCCGAAGTAAGTAAATTTTGTTTGCCAGTTAGAAAGCCGACTTGTTTGATGCTGAATCTGGCCGGTAATGTCAGGGCGCTAACACTGATGGCAAGTCTGTTGGGGTTTCGCAATCACATGACTTTCGCGTTCTCCCCTTGTTTACGCAATATATATTTATTTTTCAAGAATTTTTCATCGGAATCGCAACAGACTGCAAGCAAGTAAGGAAGTAAGGAAGGAACTGTCAGAAGTTATCTCTGCTGAATGCTGTGCAGGGAACGAACAACCAGTTGTTACAGTATGCATATCATCTTATTGGGAACCCCATAAGGTCACTGTCAGACGACCTCTGTTGTACTGGCATTGTCAGCTAGATTCATATCATAGAGTAATTGCAGACCATCTGATTTATTAACATAACATCTGTGCAGCGATGATTGATATTCTGAATTCCGTTTACAGTTTAGTTTAGCGAGTGAAATAAATCATATATACTGCGTTATAGTGGTTTATTGTTATTATTCCTGTGTGTTTCTCTCTCCCCGCACAACCCTATTTATGGTGATGTACCTTCACCAAATGATCCCCATATCTGGCGACAGATTATTAGCTGAAGAGAAGCAGAAGCATATAAAACAACCTTGCTACTAAAAAAGGGTTTTAGTAGATCTGTAATGACGATAGTCTTACAGCTCACATTTGTGTTTGTAAAGACCCACTTCTTGTTCACGTTGCATTAGCGGCAGTGGTGGTTTGACAGCGAGAGCAGTGGGGACAAAACCGGAGATAACAGCAAATGGCGACGCCAAAGCAAAAATCAAGAAATTATGAACAATATCGAGATAGAGCAGATAGTAGAAACAGAGGAGAATGATCACTTGGATATCTTGTGGGTGCACTTAGAAAGTTTATGCAAAGTAGGCAGCCGGTCATGCTATTGAAAACTAAGAATGGAGATATGCTGGTGGAATCAATGAAGACCGACTAAAGAAACAGGAAAGATAGCGAAGAAAACATATCAGAAAGACCTTGGAAACTAGAAACGGAAACAATACCGTTGCTTGATGTCTTTGAAATTATTCCAAAGGGTGCAGAACACGAACAAGCCATAGAGAAATATTGTTCCATTCCCCTACACCTTCGCTTCTGTAGTCTACGTCATAATGCAATGATAGTAATTTAAGTAATCTCACTCGGCCTTCGACCGCAATAAAAAATACCGTGAATCGGCGAATCCAGCGACGACTGTATTCAATCCCTAGTAAATGATAATCTACAGCCATTTATGGGAATTGTGAAAAATGTTTAGTATGAAGAATAGTTTTATTGTTTTTTTTACAAGCACAATATTTTGTTCAACCTTTTAGGACCTCTCGAAATTTTCAATGGGATGATGACATCTGTTCCAACGATAATGGATACATATGTCAAAGGTAAGGAGGAAACGTAGCTGCATATAGTTCCCTTAACTCAGTTATGTAGTCATTTCATTGATGATACTCCTTTGAATAAACAAAGGTAAACGACAGATGCATTGTTTGTCGTTTTAAGTTATACGTAAACCCAACCAATGTTAACAATGTTAAATACGAGTGGTACCTGGCACAAATGTTATGCATTTTCACTATAGAATCGTTCTTTGCGATATTTCGTTTAATTATCAGGAATTAGTTTGATTTATGTGAGCATATTTACGACTCATAGCCTTTACTAATCACTCTTTATATTACTAGCCCTCTAGATGATTGTAGCGACACTACTACACCAGGATGGGCAAGTGGTATGTAGCAAAGTGATTTTCTAAGCGTTGTGGTCAATTGACGCGACAGAGCACTATGCTTTATTTGTAAATTACCACTGAGACCTCATTGAGAGCGTAAAAGCAACGCAATTTGCTACCACCTAATAGTGTTTGTATTTTTTATCTGTTCGCCCGACCGCATGATAACCATAGTATTCAAAAAAGAGGGCGCTAGAAGTACATAATGAAAAGAATTCCTTGTCAGTTATAACATTGCATTGGTTATTCAAAATATCGGTTGAGCTGAAAGTTATCGGTTAAGTGTGTCTATTGATTAACAAAAATGACAAGGACAAGAACAAACTAAAAGGCCGTGCCAAACAAAACAACCAGACTATATAAATGCATGGCATGGCATCTAAAGATGATAGGGGAATTCGATTGGCTATCAAGGTAGATGGTACTGTTTAAAGGTAATAATTTGTTCATTTCACGAGTAATTTGAAGGCTACTCGTTCTCTTTATTATAAATATACAGCTAAATTTATTAAAGTGTTTATGTTTATATAAATTTGTATGACTTTTATTGAGTCATTTTTTGTTCGAAAACAATATTTATAGATTTGTAGATTAATGTTCCATGTCACGTGTAGCTAAAATGTAACAGCAACACATCATTTCCACGAATGGTGCTTCTTAGAGTGACGTCAAACTGACTTATATAAGTAATGATATTTCCGTTCTAATCGACCACTGTTTTGGTACGTCATCTAGAATATAGTAGAAACAATCAAATACGAAATCTTCGTTAATATACCAATGCTTTGTTAATAGATTACTAAATATCTGAAACAGATCGTCAATTTAAAGGCCCTTCGTGTCACCTAATTACGTCATAGAAACCATATCCATTGTCGTTTGTTTAGTTAGATGTGATATGTGTCATAAATACAAACATACTGAGAAAATAGGTGATTTTCAGTTCACAAGCGAGATCTCGTGTATTTCGTGAAAGACGTGAAATTTTATTTTGACCTCGAATTTCTTTTTTTCATATCGTGACCTCGGTATTGCGTTTACGTACCCTTACTTCATCGAAACTGACTATCATCAAATGTGTACAGCATCATTAAGCGTTTCAACAGTCTCCAAAATACTTTCGCGTTTATTGAATCCCATGTGATGTTTGACGCTACTAAGACGCTATGATCTTTGTTTGTTCTGCTTTAAAATTCAATTTCACGACTAACGCGGGATCTCGCAGTGTACGAATGATGGTCTATTGACATCTTACAACCAAATGCTATACGGGCAGTTTCCCTATTTATGTATTTTTTTCTAAATAACGATGTATTACGCGACAGTAATAATCTCTTCGCTGAAGAAAAAACACAAATTTTGTGGCCACGTTTATGATACATATTAAGCATCTTACATATATTCAGCAATTCACAAAAGTTACACTGTTTACTATTATGGTAAATATGGTGACTGTGCCACTATGATGACACATTGCAAATTTTAAATTTCATTTGACCTTAGACACGAAAATGGCTGCCGAGATCTCGTTAAGAACGAGAGCCACAATACTTGTTTTCGATCATTGAGTAGTGTTACATTATCTCGTTGCCATACCAACTATTTGTATTACCATGGGCACATGATCACCCAAAACGTTGGGCGTAGTAATGAGAGAAAATTGAATAATATTTAAGAGCAAAGTCAACTAACTCTGTTGACTCTCGCTCTTGAACGAGAACTTAGCGATCATTTGCCACAACGGTTTTGTAATGCTCTAACAGTTATTCTCTCTATAACAATTACAGATGTCTCCAGCACGAAAGTCCCATCAACGGCATTTACCTCGTCAACACTTTATCCTGGTAAGATATACTGATTTGATTGTAGGATGTGTTAGCCCTCCCCTCTCCCTCCCTCCCTCCAAACAGCCAGTTTACTGACGAATAACTCAACGATTGATTCACTGATTGATCGATTGTTTGATTTATTGATTGATTGATTGATTGATTGAATAAACATTATAAATTTGTATATTTGATCAGATCGCCGGTACATTGATATTGGTTGCAGCCGATACAGTGTTCATAATGACACACAGACATGGGCAAATTCTGAGCAATTGTGTGAAGACATGGGTGCTGTGTTGGCTTCTTTGTATACGAGTACAGTCAGCGACGATGTCATACAATTCATCATAGACAGTAATATGGATGATGGAGCAATCAACTATTGGATTGGATTGAATGAACATTTCAGAAGAGGGAAGTTTTGAATGGCTCAATGGAGATCCATTTGGTTACACAAATTGGGCGCCTCACAATCCAGATAATTGGAGAAATCAAGACTGTGGACAATTGTGGTTAGTAGAATTACCCTTATATGTAAATTTATTTTGTTTGTTTTTTTGTAATAATTGACTGTCTGACTATGGCTGTAGGCAATAGTGGTGAGTACAAGTGGTATCAAATGGCGATGACAATAAACCAGCCGTAAAGAGAAATGGCTGCCGAGATCTCGTTGAAAGCGAGAAAAACCGCGAGAAATTTTTGCTTGCCAAATAGAGTTCTATTTTTTCCCCACCATCGCGTATACTGACATAATTTGGTGAACCTCACAGCTGAGTTGTTTGATTAGGGAATACAAACACAAATTTATAATGTGAGCAAATGCAATATCTCCAATTTTATATTGTTTTCTGCTGCAGTAATAATCTGATAATTTAATCCACACCCTGCAATATCTTCCTACACATCTTCTACACTTTCGACAATTCAAAAATAAGAATTTCCATATGCCACAACAAGTGCGCGCCCTGACGTACACGCACTGTGCTCTTCGTCGCTACAACGGGTAGTTCGGAATATGTTGTGGTCAGCTAATACCGAGGTTAACGTGTGGTACTCCTGACATTAATATTAAAATGTGTTTTCGTGGTCCGCTCTATACAAATATCAGCACAACTGTTCGGTATCAAGCGGCAAATAACTTCCACAATTTTCATTAAATTTATAAATGATTTACACATATTTAAGGGGTTACGATAAATGTCAATTAATAAAGACAATTTGTTTAATGTAGCCATAGTGATAACTATATTATTTGCATTCTTCTTTTCAACCCATTAGGACTCATCGGAATTTTCAATGGGATGATGGTATCTGCTCCAGCCAGAACGGATACATATGCCAAAGGTAATAGAATGACTGTTTGTAGGATTGTTAGGACTAATTAATTTTGTATTGATCACTCTAAAATTTACCTTCAATTCATTATGTTCACCATACGTTGCTTTGTTATTAAAATTTAAGTATTAACAAGCAAATCAACTTATGATCTGTACCAAAGTCAAATTGTTTATGAATTAGTATTTTACTTGAAGGTGCAGACAATAAAAATAGCCCCAGACATTCTACATCGTGATCACAAACTGAGCTATCAAAAAATCCCGTGTTTTATGACGTTGTTCAACGCATAATCGTATAACCATGGTGCTTACCATTTACTGTAATGTCGAACAACGTCACTAGTTTGTGTGCGCTCGAACAGTACACAGTATAAACGAAATCGTGTGATGGTAGTTTGTTTTTATCACTGCAATAAGAACTTTTTAAACTGACAATAACTCGTATTAGTGCAAACTAAATGTTAATTTTGCAATGTTTCCTGAAATAAACAGAAATGTTCTCTGATTTGCATAATTATTTCAACAGTCAAATCATCAATTTAATTCGTTGTTCAATAATCTATGTATAGTAAACTGCTCAGAGACAGTTCTCTTACGAATTGATACTTGTTTATATCCCATAATAATTAGTACATTGTCTATTAAAAATAAGTATAGCGAACAGTTTCTGTTTGCATTCAACTGCAACATAGAGAGTTTTTTCAAAGTATAATAATATTTTTCAGTAATTGAAAAAAGTGGCTTTCAGTGAAGAAGTACCTACATTGGAGCATCCATCCAAACACGTCTTTTAGTGATGCAGCAAAGTCATTTGCAGTGTATATCAATTAAATGTTTGTTACATATCTATATGTTCTTAATAATAAAAGACTACATCATCATCAAACTCAACGTTAACTACACTCGATGGTCAATCGAATTCAAAAATTTGATTTTGTTTTCATTTTCAACTGTGTTTTTTTTACATTACAGAAATACATGTATTGATGACTACACAACTAATTGGTTATGAGTACCATGAAATAATAGGAAGAATAATTATAACCATATGAATATAATGTTGTATCAACTTATTAGAAAAATGATGGTAGATCACTTTATGTAAGTTTATACCAGCGCATTTGTTTAAAATCCGTTATAGAATAAAGCATACCTGAATTAGATACACTGATATTGCCGAGTTTGTGTAATATTATCTTGAGGGTTGTTATACAGTATTAATCGTAAATTTGAAATATACACATATCCTGCTATCAGGCATTTACCTTATAAGGACTTGAAATATAATATATACTATGCTATCAGTCTTTCAGCATATACGGGGTTTGTATTTATTATTTAAATATTTATTTACCATTGTTCTGTGTTTTTTTGTATTTACCCTTGTGTGTAGAAGGGATTAACCTAATCTTCTATTGTTTAAATTTATGGAGATACTCATGCAGTTTATTTTTTCGAATGTTTTAATGTAGAGAGTTCAGATAATATTTTTGTGGTGTGTATAGCGAGAAAGCAGTTTATAACAGACTCATTTCTTAACACATATCATGACAATAACTAAGACACCAAAAATGGGCGAATTTTAATAATTCCTTTGGCCACAATGTGTGAATGATTGTTAAGTGTGAGAACAGAGTAATTCAATGAGTGCCAACATGAATATACGGTTAGGATCAATTCTGTTTTAAGCATAATGAAATGTGTAGCAAAAGTTGCTTTTACTCCTGATGTATAAACTCCCGATGGCTCATGACGCAAGGTTCATATGCACAGGGTTCTCCAATTTAATATGATGTCCCTGGCAAGCTCAAAATAATTCCTCCATCAACCAACCAACCAGCCAAGCTTTATTTTATGCCATATATTGATACTGGCCATTCAGACGCCATGCACACGTCTGCTATAGGATTTCACTGCTTAAAATAAAACCACCTTCTGAGCAACACACTGCGAAACAATCGTGCAAAAGCGGGTCATGACGGCCCAGAACACCTTTGTTTAGTCTCTTTTCAATACAGGACATCAACACCGTCACTGATTTGCTACTCGTTCTGTCAATTTCTTGGCGAGAGAGTCTTGAATAGGTTATTTACTCAAACGATTATGAAAGATTATTCATAAAATTGTTTACGTATGTTATAATTTTCTGTCTGAAATCGATTCAAAACAAAATCGTCATGTGATTATTAAATATAAGACAATAAATAATCATTTAAATCATAGTTTTATTTTAATTGTTTAATTTTTAGTTGTAATTGAAAATTAATTTCCAGAATATTGTTTCATAGCAACACAATCCATGGAATCTAAAATCTATTTCATTTTTACTTTGACAATTTTATGAGAATATATTCTTAACGTTTTATTAAATGTTGATCACTTGTGTGAGGGTCAACCTCCGTTGAGTTTCTATATTTAATTTTTCTAGATATTCTATTCAATTATCAGGGTTTATAACGTGTTGCGTTATTCTGTTGAATATGTTATATATATCTAAAATGGCTGTGTGAAAAACATCAGCAATATTTTTATTTATTCATTGATATCAATATCATTGGCAATGATGATATTATAATATTGACACTGAAAAACACTTCTAGTAAGCTGTGTCGCATTTTGGTGCCTGGCAATAATAATGAGTCTAGTTTGCATCGATTTTATATTTAATGTTGTTAATTATCTAAACTGATATTTAAATTGCATGTATAACAATATATATATAATATATATAATATAATATTCAGACTACGTATAAGTGTTTATATTGTTAGGTAAACTATATACATATTAGTTTTGCTGTATTGTCAGTTGTGTTAGGGAGTGTGAGAGTGGCATGCAGAAAACAACATTAATGGGTATTTAGTTTGTCTTTTAAATAGGACTTCATACACAAGTCTTCCCCTAGAAGTGTCTTATCGCAACCACCAATTTAATAACATTAGATACATTAGTAATATTTATATCACATAAAAAAATATTAAATTATATATAGATATTACAATGACAAATAACAACGGTTGAAATTTAAAGTGTGGTAATATATATGCGGTTTCATATCATTAATGTATTTCATACGATAACTAAACTCTATTCAAATTAATGCAATTCCATATAACAAGAAATACTGTGTAAAGCTGCATATTGGAATATTTTGTGATAGTCAGTGATGATTTAAAGTTCAATTTTCTTCCATGAATTAATCATGTTAAAAAGATTACAATAAATAGTATAGACACATGGATTATTCCACTAATTTATTAAACTAAACACTCATTATATTCAGTAGCATAATAAACGTGAATATGTAAATTACAAGAATTTCGAAACCAAAATGTATAACATGTTAGTTTTTAGTCTAATAATAAATAATATTTAAAGTTATACACGCAAATAGAAACAAGGTCAACAATAAAATCTAGAAACGAAACTATATCACCGAGAACCTAGGATACAATACCAGGTCTTGTATTACGAATATATCATTTCAATAAAATATTAATATTTTATATATTCCTATATTGTAAAGATCAAAATAACGAAAACCAGCAACTGTGTCTAATACATCCAATAAAATATACAATTACATTACTGGATATTCGAAACGATGGCCAATGGCAACGAAGTGAATTTCTAATGTTTTCTGGATTCTAACATTTTGGTTTTTGACGTAATTTCAATTGATGGATTGGCGGTAAGTAATCACAATTTAGATTTTAGCTGTTAATATGCCATGTATTTTTCCAGAGTTCAGTTTTAGTCAGTTTGCATTACACCGTTCTTGAATCCCTTGGAAGACATAATTAACATGGGTGAGGTTTATATTTTCAGACATTTGAATCGTGACACGAACGTATTCATAAAACACATTTTTTAATTATATATATTTATTTATATTGTATGAACTGTATATATTATGAGGTCATTACGCGGATACTGCAAAGTATTCAAGAAGACAGTACAGCGGAGTATTGGCCGACGCGCAACAGAGGTTGATGCGACCGCGTACTGTCTGAGTGCATATGTTGCAGTATCCTCGTAATAAATGTATTATTATACATCTTTCCTATTCAGAAGTACATCGTGGGAAA